CCATAAGCCTTAACGAAAAACGATCATTGTTAATGCTGTAGATAAGATAGGTATATGAATTATTCTCAACTCCACATATCTCAATAGAACTTTTTCCCTTTATATGTTAATAATACTGAAAATAAATGTTCACACACAATTATTTTCATTTATTCTACCAAAAAATGACATCACAAATCTTTACTATAATGGAGAATACCTAGTATGTAGTAATTTCGAAAAATATTTAATAAATATTCAACTATATATTTGCATATGTTAATTCATACCTTATAAGAAAAATTTATTTACAATTTAGTTAATTAATTTATTTATTTAATTTGCTGTTTTTATTTTAAAAATTACACATTGCACAATGGTAATTGGGTAGCTTTATACACTTAGCAAATAAAAGTATTTAAATAATATATTGTAAAATATAAAAAATGTTTTTATGATCTATTAATAGTAGTCGGTTTATCCATAATGAATACAAATAGATTTAGCCTTAGTCTTCGTGAAAAATTTCTATAAAATATATTTATTAGATAGTTCCAATGATACTAGAAGACTTAAAAAGATATGACAGGTTCAGTAGATAATAATAGCTCCATTCTCCTTCTCTCTTTTTCTCTCTTATCAGCATTAAAGAATCAACGAAAAATGACTATCATCGGTCAATGACTAGACAAATCATCAAAAATGGTGGTGCTTGATTGCTACCCCCCACTCCAATATTCCAATTTTTATGTGACCTCTATTTTAAATAAACGAAATGTTTTTTATAGTTTATTCACGATTTGCTAATATTTACGGATCCTTTGGATCGCCAACATAACCTACGAAAAATTACTATCATCGTTAAATGACTAGACAATTCATCAAAAATGGTGCTGCTTGATTGCCTCTCCTCATTCCAATATCCAAATATTTATGTAACCTCTATTTTAAATACATCATATTCAATAGCACTAAACATTCAGCTGAAGAATTTATTTGTTCAAACTATGTTATAGTATTAAAACATATCTTAACTCGATTCGCAGTTAATCCCTTCGGAATATATTAAATGCATATATATAGCACATTTATGCTCTGTTGCACCAATTTTGTTTTTAAAGCTTTTTTGTTTATTTTATCTTATTGAACTTTACTCACAACTGTCAACAAAATAAATATAGCAAATAAGTAAAAAGTATAATTTTAGTCTTAAATATAAAATGAGGTGTATTAACAATTGTTTCCTGTAAGGTAGAGTGGACCTACTTTTCATTATACAAGAACTTAATTTTCTAATTTTTCTAGAACTACTTTGTTAACATATTACACTGGTATTTTCATGGTTACTTAGACTGTTTAAGTATTTTTTATCAAGACTACAGATATCCTTCTATGTAATCATCAATTATAGATAAACAAGGGAGTGTTACGAAGTTTTCTAACAGCGTTTTCGGTTGGTAAGTCTGGGGTGATTTTTTCAATCGAGAAGTTTAGTGCACTAAACTTTTAGTGCAATTTTAATTTTCGATTGGTAAATCTGGGGCAAAATGCATTACACTCGCGATTTATTTATAACACTCTAGATATTTTGCCAGAGTAATCCGATTACCCTGACTTTAATAGTAGTGTTATATGATTTGACAGATAAACAGTAATAAATGTATTTCTGAAAAATATAAATGCCTTCTAATACAAGTAGAAAAATGTTAGATCACTCTAAAAATGTTCGATTGGACAACAAAATTCAATAGATCGAGAATAAATCGAGATTGAATCCAAATTTACCAATCGAAAAAGTTATAAGAACTGTTAACTGAAATCTGTCTTAAGTGAAAGATTTCTATGTTAGAGTCGCTGAAAGTTCGCATAAGTGGTCATTTGATTGTAATTAAATAAGACCATTCTTCTATGTGCTTTTTTCACGTAAGTCTTCGGTCGAGGTGCATTCCCAAGTATTATGTGTAATTGCATTGGGATATTACTTTCCCATTGATACGGAGAGCAGGGCAGGTATCTCGTCGTAGAATTAATATTAAGTGTACACTTTTCGATTCGTTGATTTTTATTCTCCAAATATCAAGTCATTCTTGCAGTTTGTTGATGTGGTCTTGAACTGATTAATATAAATAACACAATTTGTTTAAAAATTTTATTAACATATTTTTCTATTTTCAGAAAAATTAATAGTTATAATAGCTTATATATATTCTAACTCTTTTTTCTACTAAATTCTGCCTATGTTCTTAAATCCTGCTCAGCACATTAAGCAAATCAACGTACTCAGTTAATTTTTGGATCTCTCTCGTTTTTTGACTTCTGCCATCTCTGTTTTAAATATGTTTAAGGTTACTTTTTCTTCTGTCTTATGTACGATGTGCTTTATCTATTTTGGCTGCTAATTTTTTTGTTTGTCTCTATTGTATCTTTTATTTTATTTTTACTTGATTCTTATTGTGTCATATACGATATTACCATTTTCTGGTATCGATATAAATACTTTCCTCACCATTTTTTTTTAATTAGCTTCGAAGCTACAGCGGTTAACCTCCAAGTTTCACACCCATAAGACACAACCGGTTGAATTAGCATCTAAAATAATCTCACTTTATTTAGTGACGTCTTAAAGTTGAGTATACCTTAAATTGTTTCTATAAGTCGAAATGGTTATACCAAATAGATTTATAAATAAAATCCAAAACATTACAAATGAAATACATTCTTTTTTAGTTTTGAGTGAATTTTATTTAACTTAGCATTTTTTTCTTTAGATGAAATATTATTAATTCCAGTCACGTAACTGATTTCTATTACAGTATAAACTACGAGTATTTAAATTTCTAAATAATATAAGCCAACATTTAATTTAAATATATATAAAATAATTAATAATATAAAAATAAATAATGATATAAAAATATAAAGCTTCCTTTAATGATTTTTATTTATATTTATAAAATATATAGTATAAAGTATAAATATTTTATTATTTTTTATCACCAAAAATGCTATATAATAATTTTTGAGCAAGCTAATTGGTCATTTAAATAAAAATTACAATTTACTATTTATATTATTATTTATATCAGAATAATATTTTAATAAAATACAATTTGTTCAAATATAAATAATAAATTGTGGTTTTTATTTAAATGAACAATTCTTCTTCTTATTTGGCACTACAGTCCAGTATGAACTTTGGCCTCCCTCACGATCTGCCTTCATCTGTCCCTTCTGTTACTCTCTTCCAGTTCAGTACTCCAATCGTTCTTGCTTCACCATACACGTTCTCATCCCATCTTGTTCTTGGCCTATTTCTGTGCCTGGTTGTCATCGGCTTTGCGTTGAATATACTGTTCGACTTTCTCCCCGACCCCATTCTTATTACATGAGCAGCCCATTGTAACCTTTGCGACTTAATATATCTAACTATATTTTCGTTTCTAAGGAGTTCTTCAATTTCATTATTTGTTCGTCTTTGAAAAGTTTCTGCAACAATTTGGATTGGCCCGTAAATGAACAATTATGAATATATATATGATATAATATATAAAAATAAATTAAGTATAAATAAAATTTTTATAATTTTTTAAAGAGTTACTACATAGCAGTAGGAGACACTCATTTTACTACACCCCATCTTACTTTATTTATTTGTGAGTTAATATTAAAATTAATTTTAAATTTGAAAATTGAAAATAAAATTATAATTAATTAATTAATTCAATTATGCTACAGCTGGTTTATGATTTCGTTCTAATATAAACACAGCAAGTAAAATTGTTAATAAAAACATTTATAAAAAAGTAACAAAACTGCAGAAAAATATGCGAACATAAAAAAAGTCAAGTACGGCTTTGGATCAGCTGGTTAAGGTGCGCTGATTCTGAGCTCCACATTTGGCAGGACCCGAGTTCAATTCCTGGTACTTGCAGTCTCAAAAATAATTATTTACGAATAATTAAATACAAGAATTATTTCCAAGACCACTGATGATGGGTATTTGGCAATACTCGAGACAGCTGTATGGTCAGCCAAAAATTCAATTAATTAAAATAATATAAAAAATAAAATTTTTGTTGTTGTATTTCACTACTGTTCAAAAAAAACCTCTTAATAAAAATTAATTATTAAAATTATTTTAAAATTAATTTTAAAATTAACTGAGTAAGTTCCTGCTAGGTCTGCTAGGTCCTTCGCCCTGTAAACACTTCATCTTATATTATGATCTAATATTAGCTTTTGAAGCAAAAACATTTTGTTGCCAGCATTTAGCTACGAGAATAGGGACTTGATATTTAAACTTTAAAAAATGTATACATTATAATAATTGAATTGAACACACCAGCAACGATTTTAATAACAGGAATTTAAATTTTCCGCAATCTTGCAGCTTTTAACCAACTTTTTGAATATCTTAGAGAACCAGTTCAACATGTACTATATGTACATATATTGTATACTGTTTGGTAAATATATTTTTTGTATAAATAACCATATGTTGGAGTCTTAGTAGCTAAGACATGCCCATCTAAAATAGATAGGAAAGAATAAAGCCAAAGTTGACTTTCACTAAACGTTCAGGGACGTCTTAATTCAAGAAATAACTCGGTTAGTCACACATTTAAGACGACGACGACGACGACGACGATCTGAAGCTAATCGACTGAACTCAATATTTCATGAGTACTTTTCAATTTTTTTAATTCTTTGCAAGAAAATATAACAAAATTAAACAAACGATAACATTTCAACAGAAATAAAAAAAAAATTAAAACAAAAAAAATAAAAAACAAATTGTTTTAATACTATAAACATAAATGTTATATGAAATGTTATATTCGGTCTTATGACACATACGGACACAGAATTCCGAGTCATTAGTTCGATTGTATAGTGCACTCACAAAAAGCCAAAACTGTTAACTGTTGGCTTCTTGGCGTTACTTTTACATACAATATGTTATATGTTTTGTATTGTTTATAAAAATGCGCAGATATTTCATATATACTTTATCATTGCAGGGAATCAAATCAATCACCGAATTTGTGTAGCGCTTGAAACGAAACCGAAAAACTGTATTTGAATCATGCAAGAAGCTATGCAAGCAGCAGCTTAGCATACGTTAACCAAAAGTTAAGCTTGGAGCCAAGCTACGCTCAGCCACGTTCAGCCACGCTCAGCCACACCAAACCAAGTCACACAAATAATCAAGTCAAGACGGCATCGCGGTACCGCAATTATTATTCCCCACAACAACGCACCGCACCTCCCGCGTCCGTAATTAGCAACAACAGTTGTAGTTGGTGCAGTAGTACAAGTTGTAGAAAAACTAGCGTATTCGATCGTAGCATAGCGCACAACTTCAACCCATTCGCTCAATTATTCAGATATAATATGGGCATATCGCTTTTGTTCACTTTTAGTTACACTTTGGTTACGTTAGCGTCCGGTTGGGTATAGTTTTGTACGCTTCTGCTATACACAATTAATAATACTATAAAGCAGTATAAGAAAATTTAAAATTATTTTTAATTATTAACAAATTAAATTTGTGCTTAATAAGTGCGTAGTATTATTGTTCTTTTACCTTTGAAACTCGATATCGTGCGGCGGTAATTGAAAAATCTGCACTTGCTCAACTCTATTAAAGTCCAATAAAGATGACCGTCTATGATGATTTGCATAAACGACTAGCCAATGTTGGCCAGGAGCATTTATTGAAATTTTGGTTTGAATTGACACTGGATGAGCAAGAGCAATTGGTACGTGATATTAATGAATTGAATTTGAATGAGCTTAAGGACTACTTTAACCGGGCAACTGCATCTCTGAGTGAAGACAGTATTCAATTGGACGATCGTCTCCAACCGATTCCTGAGACCAAGCTAGTGAGCATTTCGCGCACTACCGACGAGCGTTTAAATGAATATTGCCTAGAAGGCTTGAAGCAAATAAGTAATGGACGTGTTGCGGTATTACTTATGGCCGGTGGACAAGGTGAGTGAAAATTAAGTTATAAATAAAATATTTTTGTTTTCTTTTATAAATTTGAAGTCACATAAGCATGAGTAATGCGGATCGCTTGAATATGTGAGACATTTGAAAGTTCAGTTACCTCTAAAGTTAATAAACAAAAAACGTTACAAGTTTTCATAAATTTATTAATTTCAAAGAGAAATATTAAAAAACAACTCACAATACATAAATAAATAAATAAAATCGATAAAACTTTACATTTTAATCATAAAATGAAGGTTTCTGTGATGAAGATTTCTGTGATGAAGGTTTCTGTGATGAAAGATGAAACTTCTCTTACTACTGTGTGATTTGTAATCATATTTATATATTAAATGCTACTACTTTTTCCATTTTGAAGAGTAATAATTAGATCCACTATTATCATCATATACATATAGGCGCTAACTTAGTCTGAAGTATTAAATATAATTTCGGCAGGCAATTAGTTCATATTAAATGATTTAAACTTTTATTTTTCCTATACATATATGTGTACGAAGGGTATTCGAAAAGTTTAAAATAAAAAAATTAAAAATAAAATTTTTGTAATTTCTTATTGTTTATAATAGCATTAATTGATATTTTTTTATTGTTTATATCAAATTTTTATGATAAATTTTTGTCTGCTCATTTTTTGATATAATCTCGTCTACATATCTTCAAACAATATTCCAACTTCTTTAACTCAACTTAATTTTGCATTGCATCAAAGTCCTTAAATATCCATTTACGAAGGATATAATCTTTATAATAAATGCTATTGATATTTTTTTATTGTTTATAGCAAATGTTTATGATATTTTTTTGTTTGTTTATTTTTGATATAATCTCGTCTACATATCTCCAAACAATATTCCAACTTCTTTAACTCAACTTAATTTTGCATTTACGATGGGCTTAATCTTTTTTTTTTTGCCAAACGTTTTCCATTTAATCCAAACTTTCTACACAGGAAACTGAAATTATCACTAGAAACTATGTCTACTGTATAGAAGAGATTGTCAAATGATTGGAAACACAATTCAAAATTTTTGAATTATCTATTTACGATGGTTATAATATAACCAACTATCCTAACAATTTCTTAATATCCTAGAAGAGATTGTCAAATGATTGGAAACACAATTCAAAATTTTTAAATTATCTATTTACGATGGTTACAATACTCCAACTATCCTAACCTATTTAAATTGTGTATTATAAAAAGTCTATAATGTACCTCCAGCTCAAAAAGTACCCGGATTTTGTAAATGATACAAACAAATTTAAATTTTATTCCAAATTTATTTTATCTCCTTCAAAATATGCTTCTTCTGAAGCAATACACATATGCCAACGCTTAACCCAATCTTCCATACACTTTTCATAGACCCTTGAAGGTATGGCTTTTAGTTCCTTCAGCGAATTCTCTTTTACCGATTCAATCAACTCAAAACGCTTACCACGAAGTGGCAATTTGAGTTTCGGGAACAGGAAAAATTCGCAAGGATCCAGATCTGGCGAATATGGTGCCTGAGCAATGACAGTGGTCAAAAAATCGCGTACAACAAGAATTTTTCATTTCGCTAAATGCACTTGAAGTAGTCTCACATTAACAGCTGCTGTAAAAAACTAATTGACAGATGGCGCTTAAATTTGTACAATATCACAAGAAAGGGTGTACCAACATAACACAAAATTTATTAATTTCACCAAAATTTTTACCATTGAAGCAATATTTTCAGCTATGAAAATAAAAAATAATCACTGAGAACTAGATCTGGTATATATGGGGTAGTGGTCAAATAATTTAAAACGTGATTTATGAATTTTAACTAAGGCGACTGCTAGAATATAAACCAGTGTCAATTTTTTTTTTTACAAATGGAAACATTTCTGTATAATTCAATTTACCCTATAATATTGCAAAGAATATTTCAGTTGTCGGGCAAATCATTTCATTATAGTCAATTAGGAACAACTATAGCTATTCCAAAATACAGAGATCATAACATATACGACTGATAGCACAACCTTACTTTTTTCCAAAGCATGTTAGCCTATTTCAACATACTTTTTTGATTAATCGTTTGATTCCAGTGTGTGTTTTAGAGTGGATGTCCATTTCATTAACATTAACGAATATACTTAAAAAGTTTTCATTATTCGCTTCAACCATTTTAAGAGAATTTTCGATATGTTTAAGCCATTGTATTTTTTCAAAGGTTAGTAAACGCCGTACTCTCGATATATTTTCATGGCTAAATCTTCACGCAAAATTTTCAAAAAGTGATCAAGCGAAACGCTTATAGCCTTAGCAAGCTATAAAATGTTTATTCAGCCATTGTGCAATACAAAATGTTGCACATTTTAGTTGTTCTCATCAGTCCCTAGGGTTGTTTTAACCTCTCCAGAATGGTTTTAATTAACTAATCTGGTGTGGTCATATTTAAACACAGGTAACCAATTTTTTACTGTCGCATATGATATTGCATAGGTCTGATATTAAAATTTAAATTAATTTGGATCAAATTTAAAATAACGTATAATTATATTTACAAAATATGAAAATTAAATCTCAGCGAGATAATTGTTTCTTTTATTTTCACAAACATTTAAAGTCGTACAATGAAAAAAATTATTAAAAATAATTTTTACGTTTAGAAAAAGCTGATATTTTCAAGTTTAAAATCGAAAAATATCACTGTAAAGGAACTGCTTCATGTTCAGATATAAAACTTTTTGTATACCATAATGTTTGTTTCAATAATCTCATATCTGTCTTTAAATGAACAAAAATGTTTGTTCTTGTCTTTTCTTTGCTATTCGAATCCTTCTAACTTTTAAGTAGTTACTTTTTGTCATATTGTTGAGTCACTCTCGGCAAGAAAAAATTAACATTAAAAAAATATTATTTTTTTATAAAAACAATTGAAAAAATTGTTTTTATTTGTTTATATATATTTTTAATTAAAACCTGCTTATCGTTTAAAATAGACACCTTCTATCTCAAATTGTGTTATGTACACTAATCAGTTATAAATTAATGCTGTTTTAATTTTGTTTTGTAAAAATTAGAATGACTTAATGAATATAATAATTGATAAGCACATTAATAAATTTTTTTAATCCATTATTTGTACAATTAAAATCACTATGGGAACCCATCGTACACTACTATAACTAAAACCCAGTGAGATCATACTATAAACAATTTTTATATAAACATAAATCAAAACCAAGTCTTAATGTTGATCATGTTTATAGTCTTTTTTTTATTTAACAATATATCTTTATTGAATCGCTTTAAATTAAAATTATTACAAATTACAAATTATTTTATATAAACATATTATAATGAAATGATTTGTGAATCGGAGCCTTTAAGGAGCCTTTGAATAAGTAACCAGGGCTTACTTATACCAGATATCTCGGCGTATAAGTGAATTAATCAGGGTGATCTTTAGAAAAGTGTAGAATTTAGAGGAATTTGTCATATTAGCAAGAGGTCTAGCCACCGGATTCACATGGTTTTCAAGATTTGAAATATGTTTCTGCCTTATTCTCTCGAACTCAACTTTAACCATCGGAACTTCCAAATCATAATGTCTGTTTTTATTTCTGATATACCAGGGTGCACCAGTTATCATTATGAGAATCTCTGCTTGAGATCTCAAATCTTTGCAGAATTTCTATGTTTGACGAACAGGCATTGCCATATAGCTGTAAGCCATACATCCAGATTGGCTTAATGACTATATTTACAGTCTTGATAACTAACATTTATAGAGTTGCTTGAAATATTAAAACTTTATATTTTTCTGATCTCAGTTTTCATATCATAGAATTCCCATTAGTGGTAAAGTAATCTGAGTTATAACCATATAATATATTTTCCTAATGAATATTATTTGTTTGCAAAATTAATTAATTCAATATATTTCCCGTATTTATATAATGTCTCAAAATTTTAGTTTTAATTATTTGAGACTCATATTATAATAATTATAGAAACTACATAAATCATTGGGAAAGTTAATGCCGATTACTACATATATTAATTTCTTTTAAACGTTTATTTCATATTTGATATATATTATAATATATAATAAAATAATTAGTTTAGAACGAGCTAATATTCTTACATTTATCTCTTTAACATGACGAACGATATTAATATAAACGTGTTAATAATAAATACAAACATATTTAAACATGATTTTAATATGTGTTTTATTTAAATATTTTTGGTCTAATATAATATTTTGTCTCGTTTTTGTAAGTTGTGTTATTTATTTGTTTAAGTAATATAAATGTCAATGTCAACTCGTATTTGATAATATTACAACAACAATTAATACCGCTAAATTATTTATATTTTTACATTATCAGAAATGTAGAAAAGGTTTTTATTCCATATTTGTACATTGTAATGTCTTGAAAAAATGTTTATATCTATAATTTTTGAAGTTGAAGAAGTCATTATCTTATATGAAATAACTTAATTTCTATAAAATATTAATATTTTTAATAATAATCGTGCGATTTCTATCTGTTGTATTCAACACTGTAACTAAGTCCACTCCAAGTCAAGTCTTAATGAGATTTTGGTACATTCACATTTGGTACAGTCAATAAATTTTAAATTGGATTTCAAATGTCATAAGTAGATGCTTAATGGCACCACACCAGGCTCTCAGATAAGCTCAGTAAAATTGAAACTGAAATATATATATAATATAAACTATATACTATGTATGGAAAACTGCACTTCTGATATTATTAATTTATAGTGCTTATCATTTAGTATCAAAATCGTCGAACCAACAAGATATAGGCTTTTAGATAGATATGAGAACCTTTTATAGATTAAATCTTAAAATGCATACGTTGTAATGCGTGGTCTTAAGAGAAGAGAGAATGCGTATTTCAACTACTCAGGCATGCATTCTCTAACACCTATTAGAAAACTATAAATTGCCCTAGGTTTCTCTTCTTCT